TGCTAATGTGAAAAATAAAGAGGAAGAAGTGAATGAGGAGGGTTTGGAGAAGGATGATGATGAGGAGGAAGAGATTGGCCCTGTCCCAATACTCGCAATTCCACCCTTGTGCCCTTTAAATCTGCATTCTCGCTAAAGGGTTAAAGTGCATAGTGTTTCCCAATCATCCAAAGTGGTCTTTTGCCCTCCTACTTTGCACCCTAGATCCACACTCAAACATGCATGAATGAGTCAAAGCAAGACTCTGTCTATGTTTTTGATGAAGGGATAACGTTGTAACATGATACAAAGCTAAAAAAAGTTGATTTTACATGATATGGCCCCATCAGTCTGCCAACTGCCAATAAAATCAAACAAGAACTTACAGAAGAAGTTCTTATACTCTGGTGTATAAGCCTCCTTCGGTTTATGAGCTTTCTTTTTCTAAAAAGGATTGCTTGTTGTAGAACTACCATTTTCAGCTAAACAAATGCCAAAACAGCGACTAGTTTCACCATTTTGGATGTCGCAATTACAACGCAGAGGTGCAAGTCAAACTGGTCCTAATTCTCCCATTTCTGCAAGCTTGTAACCTCCTCACTCGGACATTTTATGTGAATTTCAGCTGAGGGTACACTTAAGATAGGGGCATAGAGTGTACTGCAGGGATAGTAACTTCTGGTCCTTGAGGTCCGCAGCCCTGCACGTTTTACTTGTTTATCTGCTCCAACACACCTGATTTGAATGAATGGATAATTGTCAGGCTTCTGCAGAACTTGAAAGAGGTAATTCACTGACTGAATTAGGTGTGTTAGAGAAGGGAAAAAGGTAAAACATGCAGGGCTGCGGACCTCGAGGACCAGGATTGACTATCGCTGGTGTAGTGTGAGTACTGAGACCAGGCCACTGTTGTACCTTCTGTTGTGGAGGGAAGAAAGGGAAGAAGAGAAGATGGATGTGTCAGCTTCCACCAAGTAAAGGAAAGCATTGCAGGTCAGACACACACTCAAATGATAAAGTCTGCTGGAAAAAAGAAAGGGAGCTTGACCACTTGTCACATCCCTCATTCTATTTCTTCCAAAAATATGGCCAAGTGTGCAGCCTTTACTTTCAAATAGTTACAGTARTCCACGTCCATCAGAGCTATTCAAAATTAAATTACTGCCAGAATACCATCAAAATTCTGTGTAAATACCAATAAAAATGTAGAAAAAATAGCTGCAGGTAAAAAAATTAAATGGWCTGACGTCACAGAAGAGGAAATGTATCAGTACACTGGGCTCACATTGAACATGATGATGCTGAAAGGACCAAAAATCAGAGATTTCTGGCAAACCACCATAATGGCTTTCATTGAATTAWTAGAACAAATAACTGCTGTTGATCAAAAACAGTATGGTGTTAGTGTTTTTGTAGGAAAGCATTTGATACTATTGACCACAGTATGCTTCTTGATAAGCTAAATAAATATGGTATYACAGGACCAGCATTACAGTGGATGATCAGAAACAGTTTGATGTAAGATATGAACTCTGTAACATCCCATGTTATGTTATGTGGAGTACCTCAAGGTTCTGTACTTGGTCCAAAGTTATTTATTTTGTATGTAAATGACTTGGTAAATGTGTCAGGACTTTTTAAATGTGTTCTATTTGCAGATGATACAGCATTTTTTTATTTGGGTGAAGATATAAAACGAATGTTGGGGATGGTACAGACAGAATTAATAAAAAAATATAAAACTGGTCAGTAATAGAAATAGAACTGTCAATGTTTMATTTAAAGTTGGTTGTGTTGAGATTTGTAGAGTCAGTGAAGTGAAGTTTCTGGGTGTCAATGAAAAGATGATATGGAAAAATCATATAAATAATTTAAGAACAAAAATAGCTAAATCTATTGGAGTACTGTACAAAGTAAGAAAGTTATTCAACGATAACGCACTGCTTACGTTGTACAATGCAATAATTGTTCAACACTTAATTTACTGTGTTGAAGTCTGGGGTAAAGCATGCAGGACAATTACAAATTCTATTTTTATTTTGCAGAAAATAGCCATAAGAATTATTACTAGAAGAAAACTGCAGCCATCCATCAAATATATTGTTTTATCAATCAAAATGATTGAAATTCTATGATTTTGCTGATTATAATATTTTGTTGTTTATGTATAGGGCTCATAAAAATATATTACCTTCTAACATCCAAGTAAATTTTGTTARGCGAGAGAGCTGTTATTATCTTAAAGGGGTAATTTCATGTAAAATCAACTTTTTTGAGTCTTATATCTTGTTATTTTCTCATAAAAACATGCCCAAAGCCTTGCTTTGAYGCATTCATGCATGTTTGAGAAATCCTGCAGTGTTTTTAGGCAGCCATGCTGAGGAGCAAAACGACAGGTGGAGACCAGAAACATCTTTTGGGACCAGAAACGCCCCTGGTATGTGTCTTTAAGCCGAACTTCCTTATCATGGAGCACATCTCCCCTGCCCCACCCCACACATCCCGCTCACGACTCCTGCAGGCTCTTGGCAGTAACAGAGCAAAGTGAAAGTGAAACTTAAACTGTCTGCTGCTCTTAACACTACTGCTCACTCAGTGAAGCTCTTTACTTCTCGCTCAGTGAAGCTCTTTTCAGATTCAAAATACCTTTGTGGAAATGTATTTTCAGATGCCAAGTAAACTGCATCGTAGCGCGCGTGCGAAAACAAAAGGAATTATGGATTTGGTCAACTGGTCTCTGAACACAATCAACACTACTTTTTCCACACTGAGATTAGAGCGAGGGGAGCGCAGCTGTCCGAGTGGAATGGTGACGGCTGGGTGAGTGTCTGGCTCTTGGGGATGGAACCTCATCTGTTTGGCCCTGCTTTCCATTGAAGACGTGGAAGATCTGTGTATATCTGGATTTATGATAACTGGATTCCTGCTGATCGGYTGTGGAGGAGTCCTGGTTCATCAAAAAAATAAAAGTGATCCTGACAGCAGTCCGGGCCTCTCCAAAGCTGTCAGCAAACTTGGATGTAATCTCCTGTACTGGAAATGCACAAACTCAAATGTTGGGGGATATAAGTTGCAAACTGGATGTGATTCTGACGAGAATCGCAGTTCAGCAGTGTGTCCGTGAGGAGCAAGATTACACCTGGGTGAAGTTTCAGACGGAGAGAGGCGAGGAGGTACTGGAATTTGGAACATTGGCATTTTTGCCATCACAGAGATGCAGTTAAGATTTAAAGCAGAGAGAAATGAGGCTGCTTGCCCCAAACAGTTATGTTTATCTTTTGGATCCCTGCAGCTGCTGACCTTGGGTCACCAGCTATCAAACCTCCCTGGATGACACGTGAGAAAAAAGCCTTGACCCCCCCACCCCAATCCCCACCCGTTTCACCCATGGGCGGATCAATCTGAAGGTCGCTATAGGTGGAGACAGASAACTGACTCTGGTGATTTGTGCTTTTGGTTGACAATAGAGGTGTGCCAAAAAAATTGATTCACATAAGAATCTAGATTCTCATTTACTACGATTCAAAATTGATTTAAAATTTCCCAAAATCGATTCTAAAAAAATAAAACAAATCTGCTTAAGTCTCCCCTGAATTTGCGGTGAAGTTTCAYGTTATTACAAAATTATGTGACACTTCACCATGCACCAGGTTCTCGGACATATGTATGCGTGGAAAGTTTCAAAACAAATGGAGGAAAGAGAGATTCAACCGGTTCCGTCTTTGTTGAAGGCAAAAATAGATACATTTTGGTTTTTACTGAATGCCGGGGAAGACTGAGCTTGACATGAACTGCAACGTTTGCAAAATGAAGATCACAGGAACACAACAAATGTGCRGGCTCACATAACCAGACATCACCCGGAGTTAAAGGATTCGGAGCAGAGTCAGCCACCAGCAGCAGACCAACATACACTGCAGTCCTTTACCAAACTGTCCGCCAATTCARAGCGGGCAAAGAATAATAATACTAATACCCAGGTTTATCACCTGCTTCATCGCCAAGGACCTACAGTGTGGTGGAGAACGAGGGTTTTATATACATGCTGCCGACAGCAGAGCAGAGGTATGTCATACCATCCCGTAAGTTGTTCACTGAAAAAGCTGTGCCACAGCTTTACGAAGAAAGTTCTTATGTTGCAGGAGACACTTTCATGAAAAATGTAGAGGCAGCTACTTTACTGGTGCTATTTTTCAGTAAAAAAAAAGTTTTATTTTCACTTGTTATTCTTAAAGTTACTGAAAAATATTATTAGTCTTTTATTTGTGCAAAAGTAGTGTTCCATGTTGTATTTCTACTGCAACTTTCCTGTGGAAAGAAAAGTGCATGTTGTTCAACTGTAGCATTTTATTTACAAAGCAATTTATTTTTGTGACAACTTATTTTATAGCTCTGGTCCAGGCATGACTTTTTAAAAAACGCACTTTCCTTAAAATTTTAAATGCAATGATTCACATTTATTTTTGTTACTTAAGCAATATGTTRTATTGACTTTATTCAACAGTTGAAAAAGTTACATTTAAGCTGAWATGTTCAAAACTTATTAAATGTGAAAAAGACACTTTATTGTCTGTATTTGTCATTCTGTCTTGCAAAGCAGACTGGAGTAGATCATGCAGGTTCGATTAGACTGAAGCATAATTTTTTTTATAAATCAWATCATTTTGAATCGAAAATCGTTTTGAATTGAAAATCGATTTTGAAYCGAATTGTGGCCCCCAAAATCGGAATCGAATCAAATCGTGACATAGTAAAAGATTCCCACCCTTAGTTGACMACAMCTTGTTTCGGACTCTGGAGGTCTTTGATTTGTTCCAACACGGAGTACTAACCTGGAATGTCAACGGCTCCACTGAACCCCACCCCATACCATGTGTTTGACCCCACCCCCTCCCCTCCTTAGCTGCCTTGCTATGCGAGTGTTTTTTTTTTTTTGAGAGCATGTTTCTGTGTTTCTGTGTAAAACACAGGATCAGAGCTCTTTTTTTTTAACTCACCTTTCCTATTGTGTGTATTCCAACCTGCAAAAGGTAGCGCACCATAGTGCGAAAGACCTTGGACATTCGTTCCCCCATGTTCGTTATGTGTGTCTTTCTCTGAACGGATGTTCTAAAGTGCCAGTTCCGAGTTTGTGTTTATCACTGACAAYGGCAATAAAGTTGATTCTGATTCTGAATCAATACTTACTGGGCCTGCTCCACAAATACATTTTGAAGGACATTAACAAGTATGTATGACATATAGAGTGAAGAATGCAATCTGTAATGAGAATGATGGGGAAGAAAATGTTAACTTTTATCCATCCACATTCTAAAGTAACATATGGCAATCACAGTACTGCCATCACTTATCTGTTCACCCTGACCCCTTGTTCACCTACTACACATACCCAATTAGGTCCCCAGTATTATACTTAAAAACACACAAACACTATGATAGACAGTAAGGTTTAGTTTGGTCTTCTTGATCTGGTCGGCATGAAGTTCATTTTCTGGCTGAGCAGCTCACGTACTGTATAATTTGTGAGTTTTGGCAGCCTTAATGGGAGTTCCTTGCAAGTCTCTGGGGTCCTCTCAGGTGTTGAGCATACAGGTACGTTCACAAGCACATTCATATATAGAGATGTAAAAACATCCACGTAAWATGCACTAAATGCAAATGTTMATCATTCATAACTCGGTGAATGGTTTTTCCAAAGAGCACTTTCTGCCAAGGGTTTACTCATTTGAATTCACCTTTAAAAGAAGAGCATAGTCTTCAGTGTCCTGTGGAACGACACAGTGAGCACTGAATCAAGATCATGTAGCAGTTGACAGTTGGCTGCATAATTTATGCTAAGTTGAAAATCTCTGGTGTCAGACACAGTTCATGCATAGACTATGGTCATGCTGACTGACAATCAGACAAAGGTAATAGACTGTAATAATGTTGTCCACTCCACAGTGATCTGTTCTTCACTCAACTGCCTATAATGAAAGTATAAAAGGACCCATTGCCAGACTGTTGGTAAATGGTGCGATTAGGCATGTTTAATGACAAAACTATAATAAATAATATATAAATAATGCTGAAATGCAACTTTTTTGTCACGTTTTACACCATGTTTTCCATTGCGGTTCCAATTTGTGATGTGCACAAGCTTTAAACCACTTTAATTACAATATTTATCATTCAGCCATATGACATGGTTTTGATAAATAGTTAGGCATTCTGATTCTGACAACCTACACACAGTCTCCCAGTTAAAAAATCATCCTATGCTTCTACAGTAGTATTCACACCTGATAATCTGGTAGACTCAGTTCAATTGGAGACCAAAATTGCAAGATTTGTTTACATTTTCAGTTGGTGTGGTTCACATTCACACTGCACTTTGTCTAACAAACCAAATCCTGTGAACAATCTGTTACCCCCTCGCCTGTGGTGGTGCTGCATCAAGGACCACTGAAGGAATCAACACAAAAACCTCAGAAGAAGACACTGAGCACAACTTCCTTCTTCATAAAATGTAAACAAACATAGAGTGACATCATATTTTAGTGGCTGTAGGATTTATTTTTGGCTTTGGCAAATGTGCCAATTAAATAGTCTTCAACAATGGACTTCAAGATGAGACGGAACTGTAGAGAACAACAATCACACAAGGTGGCTGAGATGGCTCCATATCTGAGGTGGCATTCAACAATATGAGTGCATCCAGCTTTACAGCAGTGATGTCCACCTTATACAGACATTGAGCAAGATATTTATAAGATACGAGCAACTTTATTACTGTTATTACTCTGCGTTATAGTCAGCTTCCTGCTTTTGGAGCGGTCGCTGGTCCACTTGGCATTCACACATGCAGTCGAACCACACCAGAATTAAATTCAACCGAACCGAGACCTAAGTTTTTGGGCGGACCAGAGTTCACTTTTCTAGTCCGCATCAGAGTTAGATTACGTGTTCACACTTACCCAAATGAACGGGACTTACCGGGCAAATGAATTAGTTTGATTAAAGAGGACCAAACAGGGCTGGTGTGAATACACACACTAAGTCACTTATCAAGCAACAACAATAAAAAAAAAAAAAACTGAATCAGCTCATCTATTTTCTACACAGAAAATTTGGGGAAAAGCGACAAGATTCTTTGAAAAACTTTGGAACACAGTCAGAAATTCACATTAACTATTGATTAAGACTAAACATCACAAAAAAGTTTGGCTCCTTAGAAACAAAATATAAAGTAATGAGAACTGAATGTGTGTCAGCTACCTCACATTCTTCATTTTGCCCCTTAAAACATTTTTCAAGTTGTAAATAGGAAAACTTGAAACTGTCATTTATGCTAGATTTGATCAGATGGGTAAACACAGGGAATTCTGCAATGAGTTGTGCACCCTAATATTTTGTTTGATTTAGGTCCAGAATGAATGAAAAAGCTCAGGATTGTGGGAAGAAAAGCACAGAACAATAAAATGTTAATCTCTCTTTTTTTCCCCCAGCAGTTAGGGCTCCAGGGCACAATTTAGAACACCCAGAMCCTACAGAAAGGTGTAGCATCAAGAGATCTGAATTAGTACARCTAAAAAAGTGCACTTCCTGGTTTAACTGCTTTGGAGGCTGCTGAGTGCCCAACACTCCAGAGAGGACCCACATTTCACACTTCAACAGACTTAATTTGCCTTGTTTTAGGCCTCAGAGGGAAYGCAGAAGACCCAGGAGTGAAGACTTCCAGTTCAGGGTACACTTGGTTTGCATGTGACCATACTGAATTGAATGCACTGATCCTCTATTTTATTCTTTGCTATTTGTATTTTTCTGTGTGAATGCCCAAGTGTGAGCGCAGAAGCACGCGGACATTCACACATTCAGGCGTGTGTGTGCATGTTTGCATTATGCCGTCTTGTGTGCATTTGCAGGCGTGTGCTAGTGTGTGAGAGGTGCTCCCCCGTCGTGTCGGCCGTGCCACTATGCCATCTGGAGAGGAAATCGAGTGTGAAGTACAGTATAGTTTGGGACCAAGCTCCGTGGCAGCGGCTCAGCAGTTAGTTCATTAGTTCCGAACTTCCAGGGATTAGGAGAGACTCTCTGCGGCAGCGAGGCAGGGAGGCAGGGGGGAGTCACGGAGGATGGAGGGACCCATGTGGGGAAAGGAGAAGGAGAAAGAGAAACACCAGGAGGAATAATGGACCAAAGGGCACTAAGAGACAGAGACAGAACATGGGGGAGGGAGAGATAAACAATGTTAACCCTAAGGACATGGAGAAAAAAGAGGGGGTGAGGTGAGGGGACAGGCGATGGAGAACAAGACAGCAAGGAAGAGGAGGAGGAGGAGAGAGGAGAGAGGACAGGTGTAGCCGTCAGTTCCGCTCCAGGGTTTCAACCTGCCCTCCCTACTCCTCCACCCCACTGATCATACAGATATGATGATATGTGTAAAAGTGTTAGAGCAGTCAGCCTTGTCTTCCCTCCCCACTCTCCTCCTTCTCTCCCCTCCAGGTCCGTGGTGACAGTTAGCAAACTCTGGGTGGCTCCTAACCCTTTACTCCCCGTTTCATCTCCCTAACTCTTAAGCTGTCACCGCTTCTTCAAAACAGGAAGCAAACATGTTTCAAGTCAAAGCGGCAGAACTACACAGAAAATAGTTATTATTCCTAAAAAGAAACCAAATTATTTTTGTCATGTACTTTTTTTTAATCTCAAATGTGCTTGTTCCCTTTTAAAGGTGAAGGATAATGAAAGGAATGTAATTAAATGTTGTGGTCAGCTGCAGCTCTATTTAAAGCCCATCTATGCGTACCCAGTGACTAAACTCTGATCACCAAGTCCATTGTGCCCTTCACCAAAAACAGTGCTGCGGGATGACATTTAGAAAGCTCAGTCTGTGCTTTTCTCTCATTAGACGTACATTATGTGACTTTGAGTCATTGTTGAGGCCTTCTGTGGATTGGCAAACCCACAGTGCAGACTGTGTGGTTGTCATGGTGAATATAATTGCAGCAATGTTATACATGGTAGAAACCGTTGGCATAAACACATTTACGCWGTAATGGCTAAATTTCATATCCTTTTTCAGATCAGTTGGAATTCAGCTTCAATAAAATACATCATAGGGTGTGTTTACAACTTCGGTTCCTGCAAATTTTGTCACCTGTACAAGTTAGTGTAGGTGCACATAAGAAGTTAGAAAGTCTATAACCTTTTAAAAGTTTTGCATTAGATTTGTATGGTTCATCTTTTGTTTGAGGCAATAACACTAAAAGAAGCACATTTTAAATGCAGGAAGAYATGGGAAGAGAAAATTGATAATATATGACCAATCTTTGTTGGAACAAAATTGAAAGTGCCTAAAAACCCTTGTGAGGGAGTGGAGGGAGTATGATTTGCATTCGAGCCCAACTTGCATGAATAGACCTCGCACCTTTCAACAGAACTGACAAAGTCGCTTGTAAAAGAAGCAAAGCAAAAAACAGAGTGGCTTTTTTAACAAGCTCTTTGTAACAACAGGATTATAATTTTATTTTCTGAGCTGCAAAAAAATTAGAATTATAAGAATAAAATTAGTGCAAAACTTAAAAAACTTAAGCAAATTTCATTATACTACAGCATTTGAAACCTCAGACTTCAGTCAATATACACAATTATCTACACAAGTATTTTGCACAAGCAGTGTTTCAAGAAAAAAAATAATACTGTGTTTGAAATCTAAGCAGTAAAACACACTGCTTTCAGGATATATTTCAGTAGATTTAAACTGCCATTTGTGTGAGATTACAATGGAAACATTTACATAATTCACCCAGCTACTTGATCAAGATTTGAAAATTTCCATCAATTATAAATATGTACATAAGTTTCAATTTCCTCACTCAGTATTTTACTTGACAGTYAAACAAATATGACATGACAAAAAAAATCAGTGAAAAATATGAAAATAAATGTAGTTTTCTTGCTAACAGATGGCTAAAAGATCAGCAGTAAATACACCAGTTCATGAAGGACATATGTTACAATGATAAAATGTCTCAAGTGTTGTAAAAAAACATGAAACATGAAAACAAATTTTAAAACAAAATTTAACAGATAAAAC